ATACATCCTGGATCCACAAAACTATATCATGACCTAAAGCAATTTTATTGGTGGGAATGAAGAAAGATCTTGCTAACTTTGTTTCTAGTTGTTTGACTTGTCAGCAGGTCAAGGTCGAGCATTAGCGACCCGCGGGACTTTTACAATAAATTGAGATTCAGAGTGAAAATGGAAAAGAATTACTATGGATTTTGTCACCGGGCTACCACGAACCCTTAGAGGTCATGACTCTGTATGGGTGATTGTAGATCGACTGACAAAATCGGCACACTTTTTGCCAGTGAAGACTACATATGGTGGAGTGAGGTATGCACATATATTTATGAACGAATTGTCCGACTTCACGGGGTTCAAATATCCATCATCTCTGGTAGAGGATCACAATTTACCTCACACTTTTGGAAATCTTTTCAAGAAGCATTGGGTACACAAGTAGATCTTAGTACTACATTTCATCCATAGACAGACGGGTAGTCTCAACGTACTGTATGTTGGAGGATATGTTGAGAGCTTGCATTCTTGAGTTTGGAGGTAGTTGAGACGCTTATCTACCTTTAGCTTAATTTTCTTACAACAATAGCTTCCGGTCCAGTATTCAAATGGCACCGTACGAAGCATTGTATGGTAGAAGATGTCGTTCTCCTATCGGATGGTTTGAAGCTGGTGAGACTATCTTATTGGGACCCGAGTTATTACAAGAATTTATTGACAAAGTTCAATTAACGAGGCAGAGATTTCTCACAGCTCAAAGTAGACAAAAGTCTTATGCAGATAAGAGATGAAGAGATTTAGTGTTCACAATGAGGACAAAGCGTTTCTACGAGTCTCTCCTATGAAAGGTGTGATGCGGTTTGGGAAAAGAGGCAAGTTGAGCCCCAGGTTTATAGGACCGTATGAGATACTAGACCGAGTGGGAGCTGTGGCTTATCGTTTGGCACTTCCTCCTGAGTTGTCATTTATTCATCCAGTGTTTCATGTCTCAATGCTAAGGAAATGTATATCAGTCAGGTGCTTGAAGCACCTGCTATACCTCTTGATGAGAAGTTGTCTTATGGGGAGGAACCGATGGCTATTGTTGATAGGCAAGTAAGAAAGCTATGGTCAAAAGAAATTAAGTTCGTAAAAGTCTTATTGCAAAATCATGCAGTTGAAGAAGCTACTTGGGAAATAGAAGATGCTATGCGAGTCAAGTACCCCCATTTGTTTCAGTCTACAGGTACGTACTTGAGTTAAATTCGGGGACCAAATTTCATAAGGTGGGGAGGATGTAATACCCCCAATATTTTAAATGAGGACATATGGGGTATTTAATAAATAATTTAAGTTTAAAAAAAATGACTAACTAAACAAAACAAAAATAAATAAATAAAAAAAGAAGAAGAAAGAATGGACACAAAAGGGCTGAAGCCCATAGGATACATTCTGCCAAAGGCAAAAGCAAAAGGGGCATTTGCATCTATTCCCGCTTTTTGTGTCACGTTTTAACTTGTGCCCGCTTTGCTAAAAAAATTACAAGCGTACCCGCTTTTTCGCATAACTTCAGCATACGGGGCTGAAGTAGCAAAGGCAATCACGCAGAACTTCAGCATTCTAGTAGCCGGTCCTGAAGTTCAGCTCTAGAGCTGA